ACAACATCAACCTCAACAGCGACATCGTCAACACAAGAATCACACCAGTAACGGCACGTCATTGGTGTTTCAACGACAACAGCAACCACAGCCACAACCACATCACCTGCCGCGACTAAGCCATGCCTTTATCGTCGCCCGGGGGGCATCACGACTGCTGCTACAACCACAGCTACAACCGCACCAACTCCAAAACCACCACCACCGCTACCACCACCGCCGCCAGCATCGCCAGCACGGCCAGCAGCAGCAACAACAACAACAGCAGCAACAACGAGAACAACAGCTCCACCACCAATAGCAGCAACAACGACAACATCAACCTCAACAGCGACATCATCAACACAAGAATCACACCAGCAACGGCACGTCATTGGTGTTTCAACGACAGCAGCAACCACAGCCGCAACCACATCACCTACAGCGACTAAGCCATGCCTTTATCGTCGCCCGGGGGGCATCACCAATTTTGTTCACATTGGCAACACTACCAATGTCTTCTGGCTCCATCATCTTCATGTTTGCTACCATCATTATGACGATGGTGGCCGTGATAATGGTGTTGATGATGGTGATGATGACGATCATCATCATGATGGTGATGTTGCGAGTGATGGTGAGTGATGATGCGAGTAATTCTGAAGTTGATGCTGAAGAAGATGATGCCAATGAAGTCGATGATGGTGGTGGTGATTATGATGATGTTGATTGGTTGATCGACAACTTCATCCTGATCATAACCGAGGAGTCTGGCGTGGGCTTCATACGGTGGCCTCGCGATGGCAAGAGCTTTGCAGCTTTGCACGTCTCATGCTGGAATGCCGGTCCAGCTCACACCGTTCCTTCGGCATATCCTGCAATTGGAATTCGGTGTCTTCTTGACAATGCGTACCAGGATATGGTGCCTCGCAAAACCTAGAATTTTGCAGTTGTTGCTGCTGTAGCTGCCTATCATCAACATCCATGCGACTGTATTGTTTCTGGGGTTCAACCCTAAACCCTAAACCCCAAACCCTAAACCCTAAACCCCAAATCCAAAACCCTAAACCCTGAACCCTAAACCGACAGCCAGTTCAGGTACCTTGGGCGACAGTCCTCGCCTCTCACGTTATCCAGTTTGAAGGATACTGGGTTCGTGATGAGGAGTTCAATTTAAGTAACCCTACACCCCTAAACCCTACACCCCTAAACCCTAAACTCTATACCCTAAAACCCTAAAGCGGTTCGTGATGAGGAGTTCAATTTTAAGTAACCAGATGAAGGAACCGATATTTATCTACCATAGATCCCTATGATAGAAACTTCAACTCAAGTCCTTAACAAGAAACCCTGAACCCCACACCCCTGAACCCTAAACCCTGCACCCCTAAACCCTAAACCCTAAACCCCACACCCCTACACCCCTAAACCCCAAATAACAAGAACCCAGGACTGTGCAGAGGATGGGCCCGGCGTCGACCGTCACAGGATGCGACGTCAGCGCTGGTCAGAGGCCCTTGTCTTAACGCTGGCTTGTGAGGTCGACCCGTTTAATGACTGGGTTCTTGTTAGTGGATTAATATTTGGTTTAAGTTACCATAATGGGGATGTACAGTAAATTATATGGCTTCTTGATGAAATCCCCTAGGAAGAACCCATTCTACGGCAGGTGCCCTGCATGCTGCCGGAGCAGGGACTGGGCTATGCCGCGAAAATGGTAAAGGATCTTCGGGGCCGCAGAGAGCTGCATCTCATCAGGGAAAACAGAGTTTAGGGGTTGGGGTGAAGGGGGTAAGGGTCGAGGGTGTAGGGTGTAGGGTTGTTTAGGGTCTACGGGCTTAGGGGGTTAGGGTGTAGGGCGTAGGATTTAGAGTTTAGGGGTTAGGATGAACTTAGGTCGTTGGGTGGGTTTGGGTGTTGAGTTTTTCCTCCAATTGCTTCGACTTGCTACAAGGATGAGTCCGTGATTGGTGGCTAAGTAGCCGCAGGGTGGCGGGTTTTCGTTTCACGGCTTTGGTTTTGTGTGTGGACCCTGCTTCTGTCATCTTGATGACTGGTATCACTGCTTTGGTGTTTCATGGTTCGATGTTCAGTTGACTCTTTATTTCCGGGCCGAGGTACAAAGCGGAGTTGATTGGCCGGTTTATGTGGGCTATCCATCTCCACTCACAGAAGCAGCTGAACCCGGACGTGTTACTCCGCATCCTCGCTTTTCTGCAAGACTCGGACAGGCCTTTCACAAGCTTCCTGGGGCTTCTGGACGATGGCCTGACGCAAGTTTCGGCGAGCCATCGGACAACACAGGCTAGGTCACAGTCCTTGTCTTCGATGACGTCCATAGCATTCTTGCAGAAAGTCTTGCCTTTGCGGCTGCAGCGCGTCTTCGCGCAACCTGCCGACACCGGCGCCGCCGAAGCCGATGATGAAACGGAGGCAAACCTAAAGCCTAAACCCTAAACCCTGAAACCCTAAACCCTGAAGCCCTGAAACCCTAAACCCTTAAACCCTAAAACCCGAAACCCTGAAACCCTGAAACCCCAAAACCCCAAAACCCTAAACCCTGAAGCCCTGAAACCCTAAACCCTGAAACCCTAAAACCCTGAAGCCCTAAACCGTGACACCCTAAAACCCTAAGCCCTAAGCCCTGAAACCCTAAACCCTGAAACCCTAAACCCTACACACCTAC